CTCTAACCTTGTAGTTAAAAGTCCGTCTTTTTGTCTCTATGAGACAGAGGCTACGCTAGTCTCACTAAGCGCAGATTCGTCGTGGTCGGCGTCTGCTAATGCTACTTCTGCTGTTGGTGCCTTTTTAAGGTTGAAGTGCCCCGTTCTGTTCATTGCAACCGACCGTTGCCGTAGTTCGAGTGCCCGTTAAAAGAGCCGCCCAAGTCAAAAACGTACCCAAGGGGAGACACGCAAATGATTGCGAGTGATCGGAAAACTACAAAAAGAAGCTTTGTCTCCCTCCTGTCTAGCTGCTACCAACATCATGGCCGATATTATTTTAGTGACAAATGTACTTTGCTTGTACTATTTTCGACTAAAATATCTTTGTAGGCGTACCGTAAAGCATCTGGACGATTTTGGTATTACTGAAATGCTCCTTTAAATATTGATACTTCTCTAGTATTAAATGACAGTGAATCTTTTGCTGAAATAGAATATGAGCAGGGTTGAGAGCACTCCACGAAAAAGGTAAATAGTATACGAAGTAATCCATCTATCATCCGGTCACAGAAATATAGCGTTCAACATTGAACAATGCTCATGGTACTTTTGGCTAAAACAGAGGACAGGACGAAAAAGAATTAGCGCAAATATATATATATATATATATCCGTTTTTGTTACATTTAGAAGAATTCGCTTCAATTAGAAATACGTTGTCTTCGTGAGAAATGAAGGACGGACACTGTCCACACGATTCCATACCGATTCGGTCATTCTTCCTTCCCCCCACCTTTTGGGTTCGCCAACAATCGAAAAGCGAAGGGAAAATTCTCCGAGTACAGCATCGCCTTGTATTTGCTGCCCCCCGATTTTTTTAGTTTTGACTAAACGTGTGACCTTACCTCATCTTGGGTTTTTTCGTTTTTACTTTGGGCTTTAGCAGACACTTTTCCATTCGACATGGCTTAGTCGAACGCCGTTTTGTGGCGTATTCCCATAGTCTCCCTTCTGGTGAAGATAGGACGACAAAACTGGTGGAAGTAACTGATTTTATTGCCGTATGGTTTAAAATGCCTACAGAAAGAACCGAGAACTGGCAATGCCACTGTGCGCTATGAAGAAGATTGGAAATGTGCAATGCTAGGTCAATTATTTTGACTAGAGCTGCAGTACTCGCAAATCTTCGTACGCTGAGCGTGCGTTAGCATGACAAAATTTTACAAACGCCCAAAGAGCCGTGGGCGACCATCGCTAAAGGGACCCGACTTATGGATTTCTCCCCTCCCTGAGTCAATCTTGTCGGCCAATACAGTTGGCTTATTCCAGTTTATTCTATAGCTTTTAGCTCAAGTTGGCTTAGCCTATGACAGGATCGTGGCGTTCAGAGTTGTCTAGTTAGGCTGACTATACCGTATTTTTTCCGTTTCCTCGTGAAAATGAAAAATGCAGGTACTCTGGGTGGCAAGCAGTATACTTATTACGCCTGACGCTACCTATGGCCAATTCTGCGATGCCCATGGACATTTATAATGCAAGCACATGTACACTGTAGATGGATAGTGAATAATATAGAGTAAATTGTAATTGCTTATTCGGTCTAATCTACTTTCTTAGACTACATTAAACTAAAATAGTTTATGCAATGACAACATGTACTGTAAAACAATTTGTACGGCTAAATGACGACGAAACACGAAATAAAAAGGAATTATTTTCTCCAACGAATTGGTCCAACTGGGTCAATAGGGAATGTGCTGAGCAGCTAATTATTCCATTAGCTTCTGCTACGCAGATAGCAACTGGGGTGAAATGACCACTTGGCAGCTTAAGAGTGCTGGGTCAAGACTGACTGCGCGCATTCTGGAATTAAATGATCATTGATCCTCGAGGCCGACCGAGCGAAATTATCGGTAATTGTTGGATCTGACTCGCTATCTATAAAACTAGATCTTGAAAGGTCCAATAAAAAGGCGTAGCTTGAAAAGGCACGAACAGAGGGGAAGAACAGCCAAGTTAACCAAGCACCGGAAAATATATAGGCTCTTCTTGGAGACGAGGTATCAAGTAAATTTTTCTTGAAAACTGCTGCCGTCTTACATTGGTACTTTACCTTGGGTCTACCAGCGCTGCGAAAAATCTATTTGTGGCCTTCTTTTATGGTTCGGTAATTTTAGTTAGCTACGTGCTTATGTTTGTTCCTCTCTATATGTGTAGCGATACAGCGCTGGTAAGTAACCTTATTCTACCGCAATCTGTCGTTACCACTGTTATCGATGTTTCGGAGTCGATGTGCGAGTCTTTTCTGGGCTCAAAGAATGGAAGCTGATATACTGGAAAAGTGAAATGTTGCATTGGAGGAGTGCCTCCGGTGTACCTGCAATTGCTGCTGCTGCTGCTTCGATTCAGGTCAATTCGGTTTGTCTAAGTAGAGATCAGCAGGAACCAACTTAGAGGACGACCTCTAGGCTTCAGTCTCAAAGTTTGGCACCTATGCAGGTCCAAAGGGAGTGATCATAGGAGCGTGGGACTTTAAAGCAAGCTTGTCATCGATGGCTTTGCGGACGATGACTGACGCCTTATTACGTGGGTAGCTGAAGTGCGTTCAGCTCGTTTCGAATGCATAGCTTAGGTCCAATGATGATCACAGTAGGTGATAGGAATTACACGCAAAGGTGCTTGTGAAGCTCTAATAGAAATCACACATAATATAATCAACTGAAATAACTGATCCCGTTCATCTGTTAACGTTTTTTACCGATGAGCCTATACAATGCGTAACAGCAATATGAAAATCAATCATGCATGTTGCAAAACACAAGCTGTTTGAAAAGCCCTGTGTTTGGAATATTTTACAAACAGCAGATTTACTTCAATAATACTGCGGTCCTCCTGAGCACCCCCGATATTCTACGATGTTTTCTATTGCTAACAGAAGACGCTGATACGGAATATCTGTTTAATTTGTTTCTGTATGCCCAAGCCGATTTTTGGTCATGTACCAGTATTAAAGTGCATTAGATGTTATCACTAATCAACTGGGTATGTTAGTCGCGGCGTAAATATGTAAATAGCGGAAGCTAACATACGCTAAAGGAGGTAGCTACTAATCGTTGTGTAGTAAATCTGTCTGCTGACGTAAATCCGCTGTTTTCTCTATATGTGCAGCTATCACAACGCCGTTTTGTTGGCGCGTGCATAAGAAAAACAAAGAAGCATTGTAGTAAGCAGGTGTTCGTTATATATACGATATGACAATATTAACCAATCATAGTGGCCGTATATGCCTCAATATATATATGTAGCTCGTAGACATATATATATATATATATATATATATAGCTATATTCT